TTGATTAGCACCACAGCTTGAAAACTCACTCACTCTTCTGCGGGACTTTGTCAGCAGCAAAGGCTGATGCCAAAACACTAGTTTTACTGTTGACCTGTTGAACATAACTTTTAGTTTGAGGCTTGTCCATTCAACTGCTCAACTCTCAACCGTTTCGAGACGACCTGGCAAACTGCCAATGTATTTACAATATTACTAATTCTGAAGGCATAAAAATCTTATATACACAGGACTATTCTGTCACACTGGATCATAAGATTCGCTTTCACTTCAGATGTATATCACAATGCCACAAAAAGTGTTTGGCAGTCAAGCACTTTCTCCTGGCTTTCAGTGGTAACTTGTAGAGGTCTAGCTTGCAGATGTAATCAAAATCTTCCATCGGCAGCTTGCAGTGGTGTGTAATGGCCATTGGGAACATTTCCTGGGGGGGGGGGGGAGAAATGAATCGTCAGGTAAAATCATTCAAGGAACAAAGCAAGAAAAGAAAGTCTGGCAGAGTAACATCATTTTAAATCCCGAACATTTTAGGATTTCCATTAATCACTGACGACTTTCGTATTGAAATATAAAAAAAATCATGAATGGTTAGCCTTTAAAAGACATATTCACATCAAATACCCATTTAATAAACCCAACGACAAGAATCTGGGTATTCAATACAAACCATTTTCTCTTATCGGCTGTGGCTTTGGCAGGGGTTTCCCTTGAGTCTTTAAGTGTTTGATCAGTTGGTGTATACTTAGGTAGACGGCAGCAATAATAGCAGCTGCAACTGCTGCACCCTGAAAGACACACACCTGCCCGTACTGAGTAGTCAGGTACCCACCAACAAAAGTGCCCAGGCATCGACCTGTAAGGAAAGAATGACATGAATGAATGAATGAATATAGATACAGAAGTAGTTTAATGTAAATTTAATCTAATGTAATTTAATGTAACAGATAGTTTAATGTAAAACTCTCTGTGAATCTTCTATATACTTATTAGATGTAAATGATAATCCTATACATCAAGTGTATTCTTTCTAAATAATTGTCTTGAAACATGCATCTTTAAGTGTACAAATATACATAGACAGATAGACATAAATACTTGTGTTTGTTGAGAGAGAAACAAAACCTTGATATCATGACATTTTGTTTCATCAATTAATGCCAAACTATACTTCTGTAAAATAAAAAAAGCATACAAACCTATATTAAAATGTGAGACCCATACAAGAGCCTGTGCTGTTGCAACAAACGTCTTTGGGGCTAGTTTGTATGCTAACGTGGCTGCTGAAACGTTCATGAGGTTTAGTGTGAAGAGTTCCAGTGACTCTAGCAGTAACGCCCACCATGGATTCGTGATATAGGATAAACCTGGAAGAATATGTTATAACTCTTACAATATCGTATGACACTTTCGAGATGGCATATGCACATCTATATTTTTGACAAAGAAAAAATCTGATCTTAATTTAGATAAATAAAAAAAAGAAACTATATATTTTTGCGGTTACATGACATTTTTTTTTCATACACAAGCACACCAAAAAGCGATCAAGTCCTTAATGCATAACTCCTGAAAACAAAAATCATTATAACTTCATTTTTCTTTCTTTTCTTTTACAATTACATAAGAACCTACCGGCAAATCTAATACAATAAGCTACAAAGGCCAGCATGATGAGGTAGTGATGTCCACAAAACTGCACCACAGCAGAGCTCTTGTACAGGAACGGCAGAGAGGGGACGATGCTTATGGTCACAGTTAATCCCATAAGGAGCTTGGATGCATGCAGGTCCTCGAGGTACACGTAGACAAAGGTCTTGAGATAACCCCAGAATGTACCGAGCAGAGTCATCAGTAAAAGAAGGATGTTTAGTTCTGAGGTTTTGATGAGGGAGCCGATACTCTTCCACTGAAAGCATTCAGAATGGTAAGTTTTTTGAGGGGTGTAAGTGTATCACATTACGGGGCAAATAGGCATGGTTATGATATTAATTTCTTGAAATTATGTGCACACAGTGTCAAATACATTTTCCCTTACATACACACACACACACACACACACACACACACACACACACACACACACACACACACACACACACACACACAAACACACACACACATTCATAAATTGTCTTTTTGCTCCCTTACCAGACTTTTTCTCGTAACTTCCACCTCAAAAGGTAGAAATAAAGTCACAATGGCAGTTATCATGAGAAGACCATCAAACACATAGAAAACAGGAGCATAATAGTAAACTCCGAATGTCCCAGTTTGTGTGTCCATCAGGTATCCGCAGAGAGGAGAAAAGACGCCTGTAATATAATATATATTTTAACAAATTTCATATGGGAAGAAACTACAGTAGAAAGTTTTTTGCCTTTCTTTTCTTAGTCATGATTATAACTTATCACTATCACTCTACAATACATTATAAAGACATATATGACCCTTGAAATGGAACCCACGCAGAAATCTTAACAACGAGAAAAAGAAAAGTCATTGCTTCACATACCAACAGCAAAAATACCACACATTTTCTCTCGTCCGTAGTCCCCGTTATGCTGATGTACCATGGTAAGTGCCACAGCCTCTAGCAGTGACACCAGGATGGCTATAAACATTTCAGCAAGGGCACGGAATCCAAAGTACAGCCAAAAGGTCACCGTTGCATTTCCCTCTACGACGGAGTACTGAAGCAAGCTGTTGCCTTCAGTCTGTGCAAGTTGAGAAATGTAAGGTCACTTCTTTAACCAAATTCAAATCCACTTCGAAATTATTATTATTTTTTTAAATATACATCAAAGAAATTTAGTATCATCTTTATTTGAGTTGATATCCACTTCATAATTCCGTTTTATAAATATGTATCAAAAAAATTTAGTATCATCTTTATTTGAGTTTATATCCACTTCATAATTCCGTTTTATAAAAAAAATATATATCAAAGAAATTACAATCACTATTGAATTTCCATCCCCACATTTTCCATTCCGTTTTTGCACATGAGTACCAAAGGACATAGTAATGGATCTCTCTTATATATCACATTTTGACCAAATTTGGGTAATGGATCTGATTTATATATCACATTTTGACCAAATTTGGGTAATGGATCTGATTTATATATCACATTTTGACCAAATTTGGGTAATGGATCTGATTTATATATCACATTTTGACCAAATTTGGGTAATGGATCTGATTTATATATCACATTTTGACCAAATTTGGGTAATGGATCTGATTTATATATCACATTTTGACCAAATTTGGGTAATGGATCTGATTTATATATCACATTTTGACCAAATTTGGGTAATGGATCTGATTTATATATCACATTTTGACCAAATTTGGGTAATGGATCTGATTTATATATCACATTTTGACCAAATTTGGGTAATGGATCTGATTTATATATCACATTTTGACCAAATTTGGGTAATGGATCTGATTTATATATCACATTTTGACCAAATTTGGGTAATGGATCTGATTTATATATCACATTTTGACCAAATTTGGGTAATGGATACAATTTGGGTAATGGATCTGATTTATATATCACATTTTGACCAAAGTTGGGTGGCAGTCCCTCACCATTTCACTGACATCACAGACGACGGTACAATTCGGTGCAGACGTCAGGCAGGTGAGGCTAATGAACTGTCCCTCACTTGTGTTGAACTCATGCTGAGGATAATGGCATACAGTTCCATAATCCTGCGGGGTCACTAGAGGACGGCTGAATTCCAAAGGCGTCTGGCATGGGAATAAAAAAGCGTTAGATAAATATGTCCCACATTAATAATTATACAAGTGAAGAAGTATTCAGTAAATACTAATGATATATTGAGTATTTTTTTCTCTTTTAACGATCAGGAATTTTGGAAATGCCCCACAATAATAATTATACAGGTGAAGAAGTATTCAGTAAATACTAATGATATATTGAGATTTTTTTTTCTCTTTTAACGATCAGGAATTTTGGAAATGCCCCACAATAATAATTATACAAGTGAAGAAGTATTCAGTAAATACTAATGATATATTGAGATTTTTTTTCTCTTTTAACGATCAGGAATTTTGGAAATGCCCCACAATAATAATTATACAAGTGAAGAAGTATTCAGTAAATACTAATGATATAATGAGAGATTTTTTTTTCCTTCTCTCTTTTAATGATCAGGAATTTTGGAAATGTGTATGGCAGAGGCTAAATCAACGTGGCCCAATTGCAAAGGACTCCTCTACCTTGCTCTCATTGCATGCTATATACTCCTTATCCCCTCCAGGCCGAGTTAAGCACAAGTAGGCAGGTTCGGCAGTGGTATTGTGTTCTAGTGGTATTAAACATTCTTGTTTGCAACCCCCTATTCTGAAAAAATAAAAATCTTATTTTAGAATTCTTACGTAAGTTAGATTATATTATAATTAATAGTGGTTTATCATACCGGAATATACTTATTATGATGTACATTATTGGTATGGTTAAAAAAATTATATATTATAGTTAATAATGGTTTGTCATACTGGAACCTTTACTTATAATGTACGTTATTAGTACAGTTAAAAAAAATATCACCAACATTAAATACAATAACCATTTATCAACACTGCATGAAAATTACTATTGCCATTACAAATGATAATGATAACAATAGTAACAGCAACAGTAAGAGTGAAAATAATAATAATGATAATAGTAACAACAACAATAATAATAATGATAATAGTAACAAAAACAATAATAATAATGATAATAGTAACAAAAACAATAATAATAATGATAATAGTAACAACAACAATAATAATGATAATAGTAACAACAACAATAATAATGATAATAGTAACAATAATAATAATAATAGTACTAATCATAACAATAATTTATCATTTCCTCCTGTTTTGCTATAGTGAACAAACCCTGTTTTCATCATTTACCTCCGCCATGACCCGATACCCATGACGCTGTGACAATGACCCAACACCGGCGACAAAAATCGACCGTACATGATGCCGAACCCAGAGACCCAAGATACAAGACCCAAGACCTACGACCCGTGACCCAAAATCCTCGAACTTTGACCCAAAATTCGTGACCTGTAACCCAGAACCCTCGACTTGACCTTTGACCCAAAATCCGTGACCAGTGACCCCAAAACCTTTGCTCTTCGACCCAAAACCCCTCGCCTTTCGACCCCAAAACCCGCGACCTTTGACCCCCAAAACCCTCGCCTTTCGACCCCAAAACCCTCGACCTTTGACCTCCAAAACCCTCGACCTTTGACCCCCAAAACCCACGCCTTTCGACCCCAAACCCCGTGACCCATGACCCTTGTCCTTTAACCTTCGACCCAAAACCCCTCGACCTTTGACCCCAAAACCCTTTCCCTTTGACCTTCGACCCAAAACCCGTGACCAGTGACCCCAAAACCCTTTTCCTTTGACTTCCGACCTCCCCCCCAAAACCCCCTCGCTCTTTGACCTCCTGACCCGTACCTAAACGAAGACGAGTGCGAGCGGTTGAGGTCCGGACACGACTGTTCGGAGGAGTTGAGAGTGATGGCTGCCCCTTCGGCGTCGCACGTGAGGGAGAGGACAGGCTGTACAGACCTCACCGCGTAGGCCGGGACGAAGAGGAGCGCTGTGTACATCATGGCGCCTGGAATGGGGGATGGTGGTGAGTTTATATAGGACGGATGATTTCAACTTATGACTTCAACTATATGATGATTTCAACTTGTATAAATTCAACTATAGGATAATTTCAACTTATAACTTCAACTTATAACTTCAACTATGTGATGATTTCAACTTGTATAACTTCCACTGTATGATGATTTCAACTTATAACTTCAACTATATGATGATTTCAACTTATAACTTCGACTATATGATAATTTCAACTTATAACTTCAACTATATGATAATTTCAACTTGTATAACTTCAACTTTATGATGATTTCAACTTATAACTTCAACTATATGATAATTTCAACTTGTATAACTTCAACTTTATGATGATTTCAACTTATAACTTCAACTATATGATAATTTCAACTTGTATAACTTCAACTATAGGATGATTTCAACTTATAACTTCCACTAGAGGAGGATTTCAACTTATAAATTCAACTATAGGATAATTTCTACTTATAACTTCAACTATATGATTTTTCAACTTATATATATATGATGATTTCAACTTATAACTTCGACTATTTGATGATTTCATCTTATGACTTCAACTATATGATAACTTCCAACTTATTTCAACTTAAATTATGTGATCTTTTTATATACTAACTTCTACTTCAACAACTTATATGGTCTTATATGTTTTAATTCTAACTTATATAAATGATATGATATTTTATATACTAACTTGAATTTACTACCACAGGCAACACTAATAACTTAATCTTAATAGATTACATAGTCTTACATGCATTGATACAGGTTTAACTTATAAATTAATCTTTTTTATATCTTAAAAATTATTCTTATATAACGTAGATAGTTTTGTTCAAAATTTATGTAATGTAATGTCTTTTTTATCTAGCTTTGTATCTCTGTCTATCAATCAATCAGTCTATCAATATAATCTATCTATCAATTCATTTATGTATCTATTTACTTAATCAATCACCTATCTATCTATCTATATCCCTATCTATCTATTAAAAGAACTGTCAAGAGAGTTAATACCTTTTATTTCAAGATTTGACAAATATATTTCACAGATATGAACATCTTGCAAAAACGTAGTCACTAAATATCTTTCAATGTATAATAACATGGGACTTTTGAATCTGTGGGAGTCTCAGAGCAATTTAAAACTAAACTAAAACTAAAGCATCGATATTATTCACTATAATGCTCTCTGTCTGTCGGTCTGTCTTTCCGTATGTCTGCCTGTCTGCCTGGCTGTTAGTCTGTCAGTCAGTTAATCTACTTGTCAGTCTTTTAGTCTACCCAAGATTGTACTTACCTACCTACCTACCAACCAACCAACCAACCTACCTACCACCTTTACCTACCTACCTACTTACCAACTACCTACCTACCTAACCTAACTCCGCCCACCATACCCCTCCCCCCTTCTCCCCCCCTCCCCTCCCCCCTTTTTTTTCCCCCACTACTGACTCACCGAGGGCCATGAACACAATCGTGATGACGCGGTAGTTTCCGAGTCTGTCCGCCAGGAGGCCCACGAGCGGAGGACCGGCGAGGGAGGTTAGGGGCAAGATAGAGTTAATCCACGTGATCTCCGCCATGTTGAGTCCCAGCGTCCGCATGTGGATCGTCAGGAAGGCCATGATGCTTCCGAGGGCTGTGTGGAAGAGAGAGGGAGGAAGGGAGAGAGGGAGGGAGGGAGGGAGGGAGAGAGGGAGGGAGAGAGAGGGAGGGAGGGAGAGAGGGAGAGGGAGGGAGGGAGAGAGAGAGAGGGAGAGAGAGGGAGGGAGAGAGGGAGGGGGAGGGAGAGAAAGGGAGGGAGGGAGAGAGAGAGAGGGGGAGGGAGAGAAAGGGAGGGAGGGAGAGAGGGAAGGAGGTAGGGAGGAGGGAGAGAGGGAGAGGGAGAGGGAGAGGGAGGGAGGGAGGGAGGGAGGGAGGGAGGGAGAGAGAGAGAGAGAGAGAGAGAGATAGAGAGAGAGAGAGAGCAGGAAAGAAAAGAAAGAGAGACAAAGATACCATAAGTATCACTTGCATAAACTCAACAGAAAAAAAAAATATATATATATATACACATAACATCCACACGCATAGAAAACGGGAATCCAGGTCCCTTACCTCCATAGAACGTAAAGAAAAGAATCTTGTGTAGGAAAAGCGGTCTGTTGATATTGCAACCCATCTTGTATTTTATTTTAATTTTCCCCTCTTTTTTTCTCTATAAAATCAGCGAAACTATAAATTGACGAAGGAATAAAACGGGTTCAAAATGCAATCGACGTGATCTTAGTGCATGGCGGGCTGTGACGTCACCGTTGGCGTTGATTGGGGTCTTTACGGCACGGAGATGACCTGACTTGACCTTGAATTATGACCTCGGGAGAGAAGTGGCGGGAAGCAAGGTCAGGGAGACGTGGAGAAGGTATATTTCTGGGTCTCTAAGTTCATGTTTTGGGCTGTTTTTTCCGCCTGAAGAAAATCATCATCTGGGGAAGAGAGAGAGACAGAGGGAAACGTGATTACTAATATATTAAAAAAAAATTGTTCTGGAAAAAAAGAGAGAAGAGAAAATGTGATTCCTGATATTTAAAAAAAAGGGGAAAAGGGGAAAAAAATAAATAGGATTACAGATATTTTGCTAAAAAATAGAAAAAAAGAATAGTTTGGCGAATATAGGAAACTGTGATTCAATACACTTTTTAATTGTCCGGGAAATATGGAAAATATAATTCCATAATTCTTTAAATCGTTTTGGGAAAATGGGAAATTGTAATTCCAAAAAAAAACTGTTCCGTAGAAAAAAAAATCATTTGTGTAAAAAAACATGGTTTTAAATTTAAAAAAATAATTTGGGAAACGAAGTAAAACATGAATCGAAATATATTTTAATCATTAGGTAAAAAAGAGAGAATTGTGATACCAAATCATCTGGTGGTAGAAAAGAACACGTTACTCTAAATTTCCTTTTAAAAATATACCGTCAAAAATCTGTGATAATATCTAAAATAAGAAAATTGTGGCTTAGTTCTAAATTGTAAGTTTGTGTTTTTGCATACAAAGAAAATCTTGCATAACGCTCTATCTTACGCAAGGTAATTTGTATTTATTTAACGTCAGTATACATTATCTAAATATACTATTGTGAATATCTATATGTATATGCGAATATATATACGTATATATATATACCATAAAGATGAAGGCAGATAGATAGATAGATAGATAGATAGATAGATAGATAGATAGAGAGAGAGAATTATAGATTTTATTTTGTCTCAATACTACAAGGCATTTCAAGCAACACTAACCAAGTCTGCAAGCAAGACAATGCAAAACCTCAACATTCTCAGAAACTTTAGCAACCAGTCTTAAAACGATACGCCATATACATAGTTCACTTAGCATTAAAGACCCGGTGTCCATTAAATAATATATTCTTCTTAAATCTCAACTTTGACTATATACATTCTCTAAATGAATCCTTTTCAAATCTATTATAGACTATGATTTTCTAACTGTGTGCAATTGTATAAGTAACCGTTTTTGTAACAACCTAAGGGTAATTATAACAAGTCTCGTCTGTAAGGAACAGTTAAGGCGCTATTTATGCGATGAAGTACATTATTAGGAAGGTGTAATAAATTGTTAATAGTTGATTATGGGATTGATCGAAGGTAAAAATATTACGGTTTCAGTTTATGTGACGTCATATGAATGGAAAGAAAATATGAATGGCCAAATCCATGAGTGTTAAGGTAGACAGTATGCTTTTATTTTTTTCTCTCTTTTCCACCTTCATTCTTCTCTCTTCCTCTCTTGTTTCCATTCTTCCATTTCCTCACCCCTCTCTGTCTGTCTGTTGGTCTCTCTCTCTCTCTCTCTCTCTCCCTCCATCCCACTCCTAGCTTCCTTCATACCATACTCCTCTCTCCCTCCACCCCACTCCCTCTCTCCCCCCGTCTCACTCCCTCTCCCTACCTCCTTCCCTCTCTACCCCATTCCCTCTCCCTCCCTCCCTTCCACTCTCTTCCTCTCTCCCCCTCCCCTCCCCCAACCCACTCCCTCTCCCTCCTTCCCTCCCTCCCTCACCCCCTCTCCCTCTCTCCTTCACCCCCCTCTCCCCCCTCCCTCCCTCCCTCACCCCCCTCTCCCTCCCTCCCTCACCCCCTCTCCCTCTCCCTCTTTTACACAATCACGAAGTTGTTTCCCGCTCACTGTTGATATATTTTAAAGCGACCGGTTCTTCCAGTCTGTATTATCGAGAAGATATCTACGTCTCGGTTCTTTCAGGCGGTGTCTGATTTCGAGAAACATTGACAATTAATCCCTTCCCTGTCTCGTTTCCATCCCTTATTTTTTTTCATTGGTGTCTTTGATTCTCGTTAATCGTTATAGAGATCTTCGTCATTGCGTTGTCGTTTTTGATTTCGTTCGATGCGGGTAACGAGCTTATATATATTTTTTTTGTGATATGTTATTGGCTGTACCTTCTCCCTCCTTTTTGTAAGAGGAAGGACGTGAGACAACGATAAAATATAAATACACAAGATATAAAATTACTAAATGTTTGGGATATGGTCAGTTCTATTGACCAGTGTTTATAAAATTTGACACGTGTTAAAATTTGGCAAGGAGACAAGACTTACCACAACTGCAACGAAGACACAGTGAAACCGCATATAAAAAATAAAAAAAAACTAATGAAAAGAGATACAACTCCGTGAAACAAAAACGTAAGAATGTTACTTCGCCCCGAGATAAAGACAATAAAAAAATCATATTATTAAAGATTTGACTCACGAGCATATTCTTGGTTCCAATAATTTTTTTTCCTATTTTAATCGTGCAGTGTGTGTAGAATGTATAGACGGAATATAATATATAGTAATCATGTTGAACGTCATCCTTTAGATTTTGTTTTGTGTATAGCATATATATATATAATGTGTAATGAAGCAAATTCATTGAAATTCTAAGTCGACGGTTTGCCTCGTGGTTGCCTTGTGGGGTACGTGCGTATGGGAATATTTCGTGATGGTTATTGCAAATATTTAAATAAGTAAAAACGATGCCAAATGAATAGTTCCGAAAATGAATAAATGATCCAATGAATAAATAAATAATCAACACTTGTTTCAATGATATCTGTATTCTTTGCTGTCTCATTCAAGGGATGTTGCACGAGAAAAAAGGAAAAAAAAAAAGTTATCGTTTCAGTCATAAAGACAATCCCTCTTTCGTTTCTCTCTTCTGTTATTTCCCGTTTCAAAACCACGCAGAAAGATTTTTAAAATAAAAATCTATTTTAGCAATAAAATGAGCAATACCACAGCCCCCGGAAATATACCAAAAGGACACAAAACACACACACACACACACACACACACACACACACACACACACACACACACACACACAAACACACACACACTCAAACACACACACACGCACACACACACACACACACACACACACACACACACACACGCTCGCACACGCACACACACACACACACACACATAAACACACACAAAAAGAAAGAAAAAGAAAAAGAAAAAAAAGAATAAAAATACCTACGAATGTTATACGCACCGGGGATAGAAATATTTACCGAAAATAACTTCGCCGGCAACTGTCGTGTTCCGAGTCCTTCAGGAAGTCAAGGTTACAACAGTGCGCAAAAGTGACCTATGCCGGAGAGGCGAGTCTGCGTGCGTGCGTTTGCGAGTGCGTGTGCGTGCGTGCATGATAGTATGGCATGGTGTGTTTGTGTGTGTGTGCGTGTGAATGAGAATGAGAGTGTGATTGTGGTGTGTTTGGTATATATGTGTGTGTGTGTGTGTGTGTGTGTGTGTGTGTGTGTGTGTGTGTGTGTGTGTGTGTATGTGTGTGTGTGTGTGTGTGTGTGTGTGTGTGTGTGTGTGTGTGTGTGTGTGTGTGCGTGATAATAGTAAAAGGGTTGCAAATCTTTACGTACCGTAGTTCTGTTCACAGTATGTATGGAGGAACACCCATAAGAATATTCTAACACTAGTAAATATCGCAAAATGAAATTCTTAAAAAAAAGTCAAAAGTCTTGTATATACATTCATTTCTTTTTTATAACATTCATTTTAACATTTATATTTTTATAACATTCTAAACGTCGTATGAAATTTAAGAGTCCTACACGTGTTGATGTTAATGTTGTCAGTATTTTGTATACAACCTCAGCAAGCCACGTGTATTATCCTAAGTGTATCTTAAAAAACCTTACCTTTCATGTTTTAAATGAAGGTTTGTTCGTCGTATACTGTTTGTATTTAAAGAGCATGCATTTTTGCGGTCGAAAGAATATTTATTACGTGCGTGCGTGGCGTGGTGTATGATTGGGTATGACTGTGTGAATGAGGATGAGTGTGTGATTGTGGTGTGTTTGGTGTGTGTGTGTGTGTGTGTGTGTGTGTGTGTGTGTGTGTGTGTGTGTGTGTGTGTGTGTGTGTGCGTGCGTAATTCCGCTTGTGCGTGTACATGTGCACGTATGTGTGCATATGTGCGTGTGTGTATATATGTGCATTTCTTTGTGTGCTCGTGCTCATAAAAAAAACGCACGCAAATTACTAAAACAAACAGAGTAACAGAGGAACGGAGCAAATCAGAAATTTGTGAATGGGAGAGTGAAGAGCGTGTAAGAAAAGAAGCGACGGAGGGAGAGAAGGAGATATTTTGATGAATGGAAGACACTAATGAGCGTAATTTATGAATGAAGAATGCGTCTCGGTGAATGGAGATTATTGTGTGAATAAAAAAAAAAACTTTAGTCATTTACCTATATTCTCCGTTCAAGTTTCAGTGATTCAAAAATCCTTATTTACCAAGCAACGGGTTTTTTTGAAAAGGTGTGTCTTCATGAATAAAATTTCCCCCCCAAAAGAAGATAATTAAACAAACACATACATACAACACAAACACACACACACACACACACACACACACACACACACACACACACACACACACACACACACACGGTATTATGACCTTTTCTGCATTTTGCGTTACCGATACCAATAAACATTTTTTACGTTTTAATAACACTTTTTCATGAAAAACTCATTTCATTTTTTAATGAGCATTGTTTTCTCTCTCTGATGGTGATAATAATGATGATGATGATGATGATAATGGTGTTGGTGGTGGTGATGATTATGAAGATGATAATGATGTTGGTGGTGATGATGATGATGGTAATGGTGATGAAAGTGATGATGACATGGATGATGATGACGATGACGACAAACAACAAAAAATCCTGATGGACGGTGAAAAAAAAAGAATGTTAATGAACACAGAACAAAAATTCTGGAAACTCCCGACTGGTTCATCTTGAACAGACTCGCCCAGCTGGTTGTTCAGAAGCTGTTCAAAAGCTGAGTCATTCTGGTTTTATTTTCAATTAATTTTATTGATTTTTTTTATATTTTCATTTTTTGGAATTTTTTGGGGG